AATAATGCAATGTAATTAAAACATGGTCGATTTCATAAAGCTGATTAATTACAGCTAAGAGCAAGAATTGTTATTACATTGCATGCGGTATATAACGAGTTTTCAGTTTATAAACACGTACTACACTCACCACAAATGACCTTCTTTACAAGTAATGCTATACGATTAATTTTGTCTTCCTAACCTTGGAACCATATATTTTTGGACTATTGTGTAAGTAATTGTTTATTGATATTGTATTCCTAACCTTCTCTATAATTTTAAATTATTTAAATTAATTGTTTTTATCTCATTTAGCTTATGTTATGTCGCTTTCCTCCTTACCTTTATTTGCCATTGTAGCATTAAATGACAGGGTGCTAACTAGAAAAATTAGTTAATTTAACYCTCTTGCTYTAWTTCTTTACAACAAATTTACACATTTTTCAAACTTATTTACTTTTTTTYGCTACAAGTACTTTATTTTGTTAACTAAAAAGCAAWAGCAAATGAGCAATAATAAAACAGTTTCAGTTTCAGTTTCTCTCGAAAARTCCCAATGGAAAAATTTCCAGTGTACCCAAAATCCCCTTGGGATTGGATTTGATGATYCCCCCCTTGTAAGTCCCAKGTTTTTTCAACTAGGCTTAAGATGGTGGAGGATAGAGAAGCGTACATGTGTTAACTGGTTTTATTCTAATAGCATTATCTGTTCTTTTAAGCTCAAGAATGCTCTGTCAGCTTGTCGGGAAGTTTAGACATGTCAATTTATACAGTACCCGACCCCGATTTGAGTCAATTTATTGAAACCAGTGTATCCAACAGTTGTCACCTTAATCGAAATTTTACCTATCTTGATTGTAATGGAGAATGGCAACAAATTCAAGATTCACACTATGGATTTGAACTAGTGAAAAACAATTTGCGGCGTGCATATTATCTACATGTGAGTAGRTGGGAAAGTTTTATTAGCTCTAGTATTTGGATATTTGTTTTCCTTATTCGTATTAACTTATTTTAAAGTTTTTAAATTTACATACAGTTAAGCTTTACATACATTCTTCTCTGCGCGATAGACCACAGGTAGCTTAGGTAGCTGACAATACTAGATTAATGGGGACGTTGTGATGCAAGTTGGCGTAGGATACCTGCACTAATGTAAACGCACATTACCTAGAAACGCACATAATTCTTAGTCCTTATTACCTCTTTATATCTTAGAGCCTTGAGGAGACAAAGTTTGACGACTTCTCGCCATCAATACGAGGGAAAATCATCACTTTGAGAATTTCATGTTACAGAAAGGATTACTGTGTGGTACTAAAAGTGAGAGGAAAACTCAAATGTGAGTGACTGAAATAATTGCTAAAGGAATAAATATGTTTAAAACAAATCACTTTTTCCATCGCCAACCTTGTGGCAATGGAAACATATGTAATGGTAATTGTACTTATGTTTTTAAGGTCCATTTATAAACCCAACAACAGTCAAACCAACATCGCAATACTCAGGTTCTGTCGGTAATCAATCTGGCAAGGATAACAGCGGTGTGATTGGGGGTGCAATAGGAGGCGTAATCATCTTATTGGTGGTAGTGGTATTGATTGTATTGGTAATGGCAATCAGAAGGAAACGGTAATTATAGAATAGAAAGTGCAGATTTTAAAATTCAACAAAAAATTCTCTTCCTCTTTTATTGGTGAAGAGTCGACCACGTGACGCGATAGTGCCCACCATCTAGGTGTACTATCAGTGCATAGACTCCGCCGCTTCTGGACATTTTTGCTGCTGAATGATAATAATAATAAACACTTAAAGAACAGTTAAATATTGGGCACTATGCTATGGTAGTTGCCCTTGGAAACTGGATATTCCTTAAAACTTCATAGTCGCTGGCATCGAACTAAGTTCTATTAATTATACTTATATGTCATCCTGTTTCCATGGGCAACTATCGCAGCATAATGCTCTTCATTCAAATAGATATAGTTTGAATGGAAATGTCATCAAATATTGATAAGTCTACCTCGACCAATCGAAGCTAAGTAGAAGAACGCGCATGGCCGCATACATCCATGGATCTCCAAGAAGATATGGCTGCTATGAATAGAATATAAAACTCTTAGATAGTGAAATGTAGAGAATCAAGACATTCATTGACTTTGTACTGATTTTTGTCCATTATTTATAGTGCTGCAAACATTGGCATTCAGCCAGAGACATCTCATAGCGCACTTGGTAYGTACATGAAAGGCCGCCAAACATTTTTCATCATYGAAGGCAGTTAATCCAGACATTCGTTCGGAATCAAGCAAATAGTGAATAACTATTTTTAACATTAGAAATAATGAAGCTTCCAAGTTTGTGAAAAATCATTTCAAAATTCGAGACACCAAAGAGATCAAAATTTACAGACAAAATAAGACATACAACTTAACCTCGCCGTACATTTCTTTATGGAATTTCGCAAATTTGAGGTGCTTTATCTTTTCGACTTTTTAATATATTTTTCCAAGACTTTCCATCTTTTCATGGAAATGATGACATTTCTGCTTTATTCCGTATGGCTGGATCAACCAGGAAAAGGAATTTTGAAAGTCAATAACACTGTACATACTAATTGATTGACGGTCTAGTCTATTATACGTATGTTTGGATTTAGTTTGAATCGTCATTGAGTAACGAACGMAATAAATATCAAGCAAAGCGAATAAAGAGTTTCGTACGAGTAGTTTCAACATAGTCATATGTGGAAAACCTACGGATGTTAAACCCCACAAGCCGTTGGGAAAGAAAAACTGGATAAATATTACACAACGAATAATTATATTTATAAACTACAATTCTAGATAACCCAAGCTATAAGAGAGGTGAAGGCCATGTCTTAACGTTAACGAGTCACCAAGATGATCAAGAAGTCAACCCATACTCCTATGCTAGGCATGCTGACCAGGCCATCGCTAGCGATACCTACGTACAAGGTATATCAATCTTTTTTTTTCAAAATATCGTTTTCTCGTCGTATAAATGGTATTATTGCAAGTTTTCTTTGGCTATCAATTTGTTTTCATCACCATCGTTTCTGACATAAATCTAGTGTCAAAAATACATGTTTTGTATTAATTCGTAATCCTATTTCAATGTTTTTCAACATTTGCATCCAGCTTACTGATGAAAATGATCTACCTTGTTTTCATTTCCATGACCTCTCTATTAATTGTAATTTTCTATCGTATTTGAAGCCAACGACTTCAGTACCGATACAAAAGAAAGAAGAGATCAATTCCAAGGAACATTAGAAGAGTCAAACATTGAAGAAAAAAAGGAGAAACAGCTTCCTTTGCCGAATGAGCCACATTACAACGTMCTTGAGCATATATCGTTCCCAGTTTCTCCATCAGATTACGAAGTTCCAGTTTCCAAMAGGCAAGTTTCAAATGACGGTGAAAGACAATCCTCGCACGACATACATAAGGTGCCTTCGTCTTCATTTGAAGAAAATCGTTCGTCCACATATCCTTTGTCAAATCAGTCCAATGCCCCAGTTTACAACACTTTAGAAGATCCAGATTACCAAAAACTGCAAAGATCGCAAGACATTTATAGTGTGCCTTCCAATAATGCTCATGAGCCCATACCTACAATTCAGGGTCGATTGTCACCGGGTTCTCCACCAAATTGTGAAGCTCCAGTATACAACACACTAGAAGATCCGGAATATGAAAAACTACAAAAATCTCAAGACATGTACAGTGTCCCTTTTGGGAGTAAACCTACGGTTGATGGAGGTCAAACTCCCTCAAGYTCTTTATCAAAACCCGATGCCCCAGTTTACAGCTCAGCAAAGGATCCAGATTACCAAAGACTCCGTGAGCCTTCAACTTCTACAATTCAAGTAAATCAACCGTCAGCAGGACCTCCACCAAATTATAAAGCTCCAGTTTACAATACACTGGATGACCCAGATTATGARAAACTGAAAATATCACAGGGCATATATAACGTCCCTTCCAATAGTAGCGATGGCAGTAAATCAACATTCGAAGAAAGCCAATCAATACCGGGATCTTCACCGAACTCTCCATTTTACAGCACTTTAGATAACCCCGACTACGAAAAACTGAAGATATCACAAGCTACATGCAATAGTGGCAATGACAGTAACTCTACAACCGAAGAGGGCCGAACAAGACCGGATTCTTCATCAAATCCAACTTCTCCAATTTACAGTTCACTTGATCCAGATTACGAAAAASTCAATGATCCGACACCAATCCAAGAAGGCCGATCGTCTTCGGAAGCTTCAGCAAACTATGACGCCCCAGTTTACCGCGACGATGGCCATTACAAGAGACTGCAAAGATCACAAGGYACATTCAACGCGCCTTCAAATGTCCATGAGAGCAAAGCTGTAAATCAAGAAGACATGAGTCCCRCCTCGCCTGTCTACAGCACGCCAGAAGATGTACATCACTACGAAAAAGTTCACAAATTGCAAGACATGCACGAAAGACCTTCCTATAACGTTCTTGAACGCCCTGAAACCAAGTGGAAGACAAACCAAGGACCAGTTTATGAAGTACCAAAAGAACCATCTTTCAAGGACCCCTTACGTAATCCTGKGAGGTCAGAGTACAGTAAACTCGAACACCCAACGAACAGGAAAAGTGTACAATCGAAAGAAATACAGAATGAGTCTTCCTACCACGTTCTTGATCGCCCCGAGACAAGGTGGGCATCAAAGAAAAGGAACATTTCAGAGGAACCAMCAAAATCTAGTGGTGGTCCAGTGTATGAAGTAATCTAAAACAGATCAGATGACCATCTCGTACAATATGTTCCGAAATACATCCTCTGCTAGACCTTTGGCTGACTGTATTTACAGACTTTGAGATTGTTTATCTGCTCTGTATCAATCCAGACATCATTAATTGTAATAAACAGATAAATAGCATCCATTGGAAGAAGAAAATACACGAACAATTTAATGACACAGCACTCCATGCAAAAAGAGAAGAGACTCATCAAAATCATTTTATCATAGATGTTTTTGCTTAGTTCCAGTTGTAAATAAGAATATCGTCCACACCGTTATTTCAAGGAGTTGATAGAACTCCAAAAGAGGAGTAGAAAAAAGCTACCAGATAGCTCCTTTCCGGAGTAGATTTAACTCAACCAATTTTAATTTCACATGGGAGAGTAGTTCTGACTCGTCTTCTAAGAGCAATTGTGAACCTCCTTTGGAGTAATTTTGACTCTCTTTCCGAGTTAATTGAAACCTCTGGAGTAAAAATCACTCGAGTTGTAGAGACGATGTAACTCTCTTTAAAGTTACTACACTATAACTGACTTTAACTCCAGGTAGAATTACTAGACAAGTAAAGAAACATTGACTAAAGTACATTTGTATATTGTTTCCCATAATCTTAACAAAATTAAATGTGATTTAAAAAAAGTTTGCTTATACATGATTTTATGTCGGTTCTGTGATGCAATAGATAGCAAATGAGACCGAACCTATGGCTTATAGTTACGATATAATCAACCCTATAATTTGTACATTGATCGATTGTTATTTCGTAAAGATTCTAGAACTCATTAATAATTCATGAGCTATTAGTCCAATTAGCATCGAACTATTGGGTCACTTATGGGCCTTTATTTAAGGAATAAAAGACGAAATTCCGTGTTTGATACTCTGATCAAAACACGCGGGATGTAGGGAGAGCACGAGAGAAGCGTAGGAAACCACGACGCGTAGCGGAGTGGTTTCCAGCTTTTCGAGTGCTCTCCCTACATCCCAAGTGTTTTGATCAGAGTATCAAACACGGAATTCCGTCTTTTATTTCTTTTCTAAAATTAAAAGAATAAAAGAAATTTTTGACGCGCGCGAGCGTGTTTTGATACTGTAATCAAACATGGTTTTCGACCAATCACAGCGCGCGTAGTATCCTAAGTATTTTAGAAATCCCGATAAACCACTGATGTTTTATTAATCAGTTCTATGTATAGTTTAAAACACGAGCCGAAGGCGAGAATCTTTATACCTGATAAAACACTATCGATTGTTTTAAATGGCTTCAAAAACTCCAACAATAATTTGTAACTCAAATCCGTTAAAAGTCTTGGAGAAATTGCCGTACAAATATGTTCAGAGATAAATGGGGCAAACYGATCATGCGCGAATCGCTTTACAAAGCATTCTTGTCATCCCACATTGAATACGCATAATGTAAAATAGAACCGCTCTTGGCTGTTCACTGAAATCGGTTGACATCTGGTCAATGATCAGGTTTCAAACCTGAGACCTTTGCTAGGGTCATGGACCTTTATGTCTGATAAAGGTCACCCTTATTAGTATTCTTTATATAAAGAATACTAATAAGGAGTGTTTTATCAGATATAAAGGTCCATGCATGTGACCAAATAGGCTCGTTCTATTGGCCTAGTAGCTCATTAATTATTTATGAGTTTTTTAAAAGTGATGTTTTATTAATCAGTTCTATATCAGATATAAAGAACTGATGTTCAAGTCATCAGCGCTTTATCGTATATCCAGTTCTACATGCACGCGGGAGGCTGCTAAGCACGAAAAATAGCGTAAGAGTGGCACGACGCGAAGCGCGCGTTATATACTATCTATGTTATAATGATATATATTCAGTTTCACGGCATGAAACATTGTCTAATGTCCATATAGTATTTTAAAGATGCCTTGCAATTTTTCGACTAAAACACAATTGACATTTTATACCATTTCACACGAATAAAAAGTGAATTCTTTCGCACGTCACATTGAAATTAAAACATTGAAACTACCTTATTAGATGGGCTACTTTTTCAGGATTGGCTGTATATAGCTTTTTGTATTTCATATGTTTGAATTTATTAAAAACTGTAAATGATCTTTTCAGTCGCCACTGACTGCGATACAATGAATCAATCAAGCCGCCAATGGCGACACAACTCGAAGATTGCCAGACAAGTATACCGTGGACATAAATCTGTATGAAGCCTCAGACTTTGTTTAGATATGCTCTTATTTCGACAAAAAATCTATAAATGAAAATATTGAACTTGAAATTTTGAATTTAATAATTTATATGCATATCGACAATGAATTATCAACACCATCACAATTTCTTGTTCTAACATCTGACCATCTTGGTTACGGATTTCTAAATGCCCGTATGTTTACAGAAAAAATAAGTGACCTATTACAGTAACTAGTCCATCTCACCTCACACACCACCATCTATCTCCCTCCTATAACTCTTGGATTGCTTCGCAATCTTCGAGTTGAAAATAATAATGATTAACGGATGTCTGCATCATTTGATTGAAAAGTTAGCTTGATGACTATATTTAGTAACCTGAATGAATGTGATTTGATATTCTATCGTTATTATTGTCTGAATAGAACAATGTTTCTGGTTTCAGTATCTATTCGTGAGTCTAATCATGTAAGTTTCCATTGACGTAGTTAAGTGCCATGTACAGA